TGATAATATACATGAGGTACTTATTTATTTCATCATCCATGTGGGTCTCAAGATTCGCCTAATATTTTAAAATAAAGTATATAAATGGTCTCACGATTATAAGATAATATTTTATTGAGTAATTCGACTATTAAAAGTTATAAATGGTCCCTCGATGTCTCTCGATTATTAAAATTTACAAAATGATCATCTAATTGTCATACGTTTCAAACTCGTCTTTTTCTGTTAAAAATTTATGGTAGTTTGAGCTCAACGTTTGCTTCATATGAATAGTATCTGGCGGGTGGTGCTCCTCCACCAACACCACCACCTTATGCGACCCAGTCATCAATGTCATTTTTTTCACAACTTTTGCAATTCTCAGTAAGCGGTGGGATTGTCGATCACACACCTTTGTATTTATTATTCCATGGAGGTCCTTCTTTGACATTGTCTCTGAACCAACAAGAGGAAGCTAATGTCGTGAAGATGTTGAGAATGAAGATAAAGAGCAACTTAGACGAAGAAATTTTGTTCGAAATAGACAACTACTGTTCTATGGAACGCATTCACGAATAAGACATCGTTAGTTTATATAATTTTGTCTTTTTAATTTTTATATTAATTTAAAATATTTTAAGTTATATTTGAATTAAATACCATATATTTAATATTATATTCGAATTAATCTTTTATCTTATAATCGAATGTTATATTTTGTAAATTATTTATTTTTAAAAAATTTAAAAAACAAAAGCATATTTTGTAGAAGTATTTTCTAGATGAACAATCAGATCAATACAAGACGCTTCCTATAAAACAAGCATTTATTGAGTGAGATATCACGTGAGCAAAACACATTATGTAAAATACGTCTTATTGCCACGTTGACAAAAAAGATGATATTTTGATAAATACTGGAAAAAAATGAGATTTCTATTGATATTAATTTTTTATATATAATTGCCCTTTTTTCCTTTTTTATATGTAGAGGCTAAATTTAGGACACGTAAACTATGTGAACGCCAAAGCTGGAAAAACTGTAGACTGCTACGGCAATGGCAGCTTCACACGTGGCAGGTTTTCAATGACCTTACCCGGGGCCCTTTGTTTACCGTCAAAGCAACTACCTTTTCTTTTGGAAATGCTTATGTGCTGCGTTTAATATAGTGTTAAAAAAAATATTTTTGTTATTGTTATACATAATAAAATCAGTAAAAATTATAAAAAATATTATTATTTCTATCGGTTTTATTATTAATTTGATATTTTACTTGGTTTCTTAATAAAATCGGTAAAAGCGCAATCGGTTTTATTATTGTTGTGCATAACAAAACCGGTAAAAATTATCGAAAATATTATTATTTTTACCGGTTTTGTTATTATTTTGGTATTTTACCGGTTTTCTTAATAAAACCGGTAAAAACGCTACCGATTTTGTTATTTTTTTATCGGTTTTGTTATTGTTTGGTATTTTACCGGAAATGTTAAAAACATTGATGTTTTAAGTAGAAATAATAATGTTTTAGGTAATTTTTACCGGTTTTGTTATGCCCAACAATAACAAAACTGGTAAAAATAGAATTTTTTAATGACAAAATTAGTAAACACAAAGATTTGTTTTCAACATTTTGTCCAATATGGTTCTCAAACATAAAGTTTTCAAAACAGTGTCAATACATTTATTGTAAGTATCGATCATCAAAACATCGAAGTTAAGTATTATAAATTAATAGGTAAAATATACCGGTTTAATGAGAGAATAGGTAAACATATGTGTCGATACATTTTCTAAAAGTATCGACCCCAAAAACATCGAAATCGATAATTATAATGTAATAGGTAAATTTACAATGTAACTGGTATAAATATACTGGTTTTATGATAGAATAGGCCAACATAATGTATCGAAACAACTTAAAAAAGTGTCGATACATTTTGTCAAGAATGAATGCCAAACGAGGTGCACGCATAAAGTGTCGATACATTTATTAAAAGTGTCGATACATTTATTAAAAGTATCGATCCAAAAAGCATCGAAATTGATAATTACAATGTAATAAGTAAATTTACAATGTACCCGGTAGAAATATACTGGTTTTATGAGAAAATAGGTTTACATAATGTATCGACCCGTTTTAACCTTGTGTCGATACTTTTTTCCAGAATGAATGTCCAACAAGGTGCCCGCATAAAGTGTCGATACATTTAAAATTGTATCGATCTCAAAAACATCGAAACTGATAATTATAAATCTTTGTTGTTTACTAATTTTGTCATTAAAAAAATCTATTTTTACCGGTTTTGTTATTGTTTGACATAACAAAACCGGTAAAAATTACTTAAAACATTATTATTTCTACCTAAAACATCAATATTTTTTAACATTTCTGGTAAAATGTCTAACAATAACAAAACCGGTAAAAAATAACAAAACCGATAGCGCTTTTACCGATTTTGTTAAGAAACCCAATAAAATGCCAAAATAATAACAAAACCGGTAAAAATAATGATGTTTTCGGTAATTTTTACCGGTTTTGTTATGCACAACAATAACAAAACCGGTGTAAATTTTAACCAGTCACTTGTTTAATCAGTCACGCCGTTTTTTAACCATCGCACAGCATAACTACCCTAGGGTAAAGCAAACAAATGGTCATCCAAATATAGATGTTATTTTTTTAAGTCTTTTAATTATTAAAAAGTATAAAATAATCCCTACACTATAATGCATTGCTTTTTTGAGTCTCATTACTATTAAAAGTTAAATGATCCCTAGACTATTTATATGGATTAAACCTATCTATTTCTATTAAAATATCGATGACAATTTAAATTGTACGCTAACCTGATGATTATGATATGATAAAATATGATCTCAAAATCTAGAACAAATATCATATGTCAACTGGTTAATGTCTAACTCACACTACTGTCATTTTTTAATAGAAAATAACAAGTTTTGAACATATGAATAGCTAGGGACCATTTTGTAACTATTAATAGTTAGAGGACTCAACAAAGTAATATCCTATAATCATAAATTATTTTATAACTTATAACAGTAAGGGGACTCAACAAAGTAATATTATATAAAAAAAAATGGAAGAATTCAACAATTCAGTCTTTGCTAAGTCTTATTAAAGGGTAAGAAAAAACCTAAGATTAATTTCTTTTGTTTTGGGTTTATCTTATTTTGATCATTAGTTCTAAAATTCTATTTTAATTATTTTTTACTTTTTGATTTATTTAATTTTGTCTCTAACTATTAATTTCTGTCAGTTTAATAACATGATACATTAGTAAAATTAATTAATTTTTAATTTGATTCTTGAATTCGTAGAAAAATATTAATATAATCTTAAATTTTAGATAAAATATTAATTTAACTCATAAACTTTAAATAAAATATTATTTTTTTGAATTAAATGAAAACGAATTATTTTTATGAACAACAAAATCCATGAAAAAGATTAAGCGTTAGAAAAATCACCTCCCCCCTACAAAGGGATGTCGCCACCATCTGATGATCGATACGTTAACCGTTAACTCTATTCGATAACACTTATAATGAGGGATCCTCGTAGCCTACATTAAGTTATATCTTGTGACACTCTAAAATATTATTTCTAGGCTTGATATTTTGTCAAATTTAACCAACAATCTTTTGATTTATTTTCCACCACCACTTGTGAAATGAGGAAGGAAATCTGAGTACTCACTGACGTAATATATTTTGTTTGGGTCCAAATTGTAATGTGAGAGCAAAATGTCAGTAATCAAAAAAAGCAACCCATATGCACAAGTCTCCCAATAAGTGGAAACTTTTTGAAATTTTTTTTGATCATGGACCACATGTACGATTGAAAAAATCGAAATCATTCGCTATTTCAATTATTTTTTTAATAATATAATATAAATATAAAATAATATTTATTCAATTTTTTTATCTAAACGCACAAAAAATCATACAGATGTAACTGCTCGTACTCAGGATCTTTAGATAGAACAATTTTTTCTTTTACTATTGAGATCACTTGAAGGATTCAAAAGTGATAAGATAACTTATTAATAATAAAAAAAGAAGGCTTAAACTGAAAAATAAATTCCTAAACTATATCATTTTTGTTTTAACTCTCTAAACTATTTTTATTAAAATAAATTCTTAAATTGTTATATATAACTACTTTTAAGTACCTAAATTATTATTTTTCAAAATAAACCTCTAAATTATACCTTTTTTTACTTTTAAGTCCCTAAACTATTATTTTGATCAAAACAAATACATGTCAACATCTTATTAACTGAAAAATATGAAAAGACTTAAAATTAAATTAGTTGACCCTTTTTTCCCATATGTAATGGGGTAAGGATGAGGTATGATAGTAGGCTGTGCCCCCAATACCAGGTTGAGAGCCGCTTCCGTGGAGACCTCCGAATTATGAAATGCCTTTCGTGAAACTCGATCCCACGATCACAAGATTAAGAGCATTGTGCTCTACCAACTGAGCTGGATGGACATTTCAAAAAAGACTTAAAATGATTATATATAATAGTTTAATGATTTTTTTGACAAAATAATAGTTTAAGGGCCTAAACCAAGATAATATACAATTTAAGAGTTAATTTTTACTTTAAGACTTAAAAAAATCAAAGAAATTAATCAGTTGTGATAATGAATGGGTCAGCCGACCAGAAAAAGAAATAGAGGAAATTATCTTATTAATTTTTTCTAGATTAATGAGTTACGAGTCGGATAATTTTGAACACCCGAATAACATAAGTATTATTTTATAATGCAATAACTTATATCTATAGAAATAAACAAAGTTATCTTAAATGAATATTGAGAGAACATTTATTTATTTTTCAAAAATGTTCATCAAGCAAGTTTGAAGGGAAAGAAACTTACACCACAAACGATTTCACATCAAATGATTTTCGCAAATCGTTTCTCAAAAAATATAATTCATTTTCTAAAATTTATTTTTAATACAATAAACAATCCCTTAAATCACGCGACCCAACAAACAAAAACAACCCTTAAACAAATTAAAGAAGCATAAACTTTGACAAACTAAAACTACACCCTCTCTCTCCTCCGAGTCTCTATGAATTCAAATCTAACAGGCTATTGTAAGTTACCTCGTCAAGTCGTTAAGTTTTCGTTTCTTGCCCTCCGGAAAGCATTAAGAGGAAATTTTCTGGATATCGAATCAGACCAACTCCATGCGAAATGCTTGTTTTATTTCCCGGAATAATAAAATAAAGAAAATCATTCAACTTCATAACTATGGTTTCTATGACCATATACTGTAGCCCGTGATTAAATAAACAGAGCTTCCGACATCATCGTTTTCCCGGAAAGTACCTGATTTTCTTTCGGTTGATTCTCCCCCGGAGTAATAAACGATTATGCCATTTGCATGTCTGCCCTACGGTTTTTTTTCTGATGTATGGCAAAAATATGCATGTCTAACGTTATCCAGAATTCTCTTGAGAAAGACTAGAGAATCACCTGGGATCAGAAACCAATCATATTTCGATATATCCAAGGATCTCGTAGATACTTCTGATAATGATTGGCAACCCCAGAAGAATATAAGTCCCAACACTTTGCAAAAGCATGAGATTTCCATCAGAAGGCCAACCTGCAGCCCAAAGATAAGAGAGGATACAGTTCAAACTATATTTTGAAGCCAATTGCTTAATACCGATATCAAACATGCGCACATCTCAACAAGAAACTAAAAATGTTTTTTCACCAATTGGAAGGAAGTGAAAGCTGACTATCTGATTCAATGTTAAATTAACAGAATCATTGGAGGAAACGTTAAAATAACGGGACATATCGTCATCTCTCAACATATAACCCCAACCTCCTAACTTTTTCTTTCAAGATAGAAAATGAATCCAAAGTATTTCCTGCATTTATCACAAGAAATAATATTTCCCAAAGAGTAAACTTTGCATACGCGCCATTCTTTTAAAAGAAATACAGAAAACTTAAAACATTAATAAGTTGTCACTCACCTGGTCCCAGAAGTCAAAATAATCACTTGCTTTGAATCACTCTATAATTAAGTACCAAGTCCTTGGGTTTCTTCCATATGTAAGCCCGCACAGTGGCTAAGCTCATGTCCGGAGATAATACCTGGAAGATATAGCAGGGCAAAGCAAACGACTGGCTGGTCATACAGCATGATGGAACCTTAGCTAAGCCACTGTCTAAAACCGCATATTAAGATTTTTTTAGCAGTACAACTGACCAGAATATAATGATAGAACTTGAACTGAACACATTAAAACTATTCTACTTGCCTGGTTATTGCATAAAATCTCAATAGAAGGCCGAAGCTTTTGCCAAGGCTTCGATCCAGACTGCGATTGTCCTCCAAGTCCAGGAGCATATGTCCCATCGATATTTACACTATCAATTGGTTTGTCAAGCACCAGCTTTTCTATGACATAATTAACAACCTAGATAACCAGAACAGTTGTGTCAATTATTAATACCAGAAAAACAATAAATTAGCTACCCTTATTCCCATATGTAATGGGATAAGGGGGAGGTAAGATAGTAGGCTGCCCCCAACGCCAGGTTAAGAGCAGCTTCTGTGGGAAACCTCCAAATTATGAAATGCCCTCCGTGGGACTCGAAACCACGACCTCAAGGTTAAGAAAAGAAATACTACATAAATCTTCTTACAACACACCATCTCATACCAAAATTTGAAACCAGATATGAAAAGAAATTAAACAACCCACGAAGGCATCTTGCTCTAATATACGTAGCAGTGCACTCTGAAAAGCTAATTCAAAAGATTATTTTATTCTAATTTTTTTCCTATATTGTATTTGCAACAGCTAAGTTAAAGGTTCAACCAATGTATTGTATCCTAAGATACAACATTACTCTTTTGCCCCTCAAGACATGCTACAAAAATATGAATAGATGCTAGACTAAGTATTAACCCGGGAGTTCTAAGTATGTATGCTAACAACATATGTTACTCTGTACAAACACATGCAATGCAAAAGAAGTTTCCTTTTGCAAGTACTAAAAAGCATACCTTATCCATTCTCAATATGCGAGGTGCACTTAACTTTCCTTGTGTCAAAATCTGAACAGATGAACCATCGCATGGATGAAGATAGAAGCTGCACCTGCAAAAATGAAAAGTAAAATTTCATCACAAGGGTGGAGAAAAGGACTAAATGATGCTCATCACATGGTTTTGAGTTCTGACTCTAGTGCAGCAGAATAAAGAAAGTGCATCTTCTTGTAAATAAAGAGAAATTCCCATGTCCACAGACCTAAAATGATGATGATGATAAGGGCCTAAGGCACAACAAAACAAAAGGCATGGCCAATTAATGTACTTGAATGGCTATTCATTAAGTTCCTAAGTCCTAACAAACTTGTCTCCTAAAGTCTAATTAAGCCAAGTTTAACGAGGTTGAAGAAGTTACTTGGCATTTTCTCGTGGTGGTAAACGATTATTTAATATGCAATCCAAAACCCACGAAGGAAATTCCTCGTCCTCTGTTGCATCCAATTCAGTAATTTTCTTTCTCCAAGGACCTCCTTGGGAACCCTCCGTAATAATTGAGGGAGGGGAAACAGTAGAAAAGTCAAAAGGAGGATAGACTGTGGAGTCATTTTCAGCCTTTCCATCTACCTCGATCTTTGAATGAGCAGCACCTCCTGCTGCCATATCTTTTCCTGACAAAACGTCTCCATTAGCTGAAGCCTGAGAGCAATGTCTTTGCCTTCTTTTGGACAGCCAATGAGCCAGCAGACCTTTCAGCGTTTCACGAACTAGATGAACCTGCAAAAGACAAGTCAACAACAGATGAATATTATCTTTTTTTGATAAGAAAGTCGGCCTCGTTAAAAACCCCCTTCATGATTAATGGAGACAACAGATGAATATTATAATCACAGAGAAAGAATTATTAGTGAACATCTCTGCAGTGAACCACAATCAAAAGAAAATTTCATTACCTTATCATCCTCAGGCTTTCCACTTATGTTCAGATCTGCAGAATACATCTCTGCAGTAAAGCATTGGGGTGTGTCTAAATGAACAGACAAGCTTCCAAGCCGGGTATCCACAGTGAACCATGCAGGAATGATTACCTAGAATGGTTTTAAGCAAATATCCAAAGTAAATTCCATATAGAAGATATATTATAATCAACATATATAAATCAAATAAATAGTTACCGCACCATCTCAAACAACTCTTCCTTTTTCTCATCAAATGAAACCTGGGCATCAAATATAAGAATGGACAAATATATACGGAAAAAACAGAACCATGAATATAAAAGTGTCTATTGTTAAAAGGTGCTTAGAAAGCAAAGTGCAGACCACTTCTACCAAGGAGGGGAAAAGGAAAAAGTGATGAGAGAATCTTGTTCACCTGGCCATAGTCCTCAATCGCGACACCTCTGGTTATCTCCCAGAGCTTTACTGAACCAGCAGCATCCTGTTAAAAAAGCATAAATATCATAAATATTTCAAAAGCAATTTCCCAAGACAATAATTGGAATGTAAACCGACAAATAAAAGTGCAACCACTTTTACCTTTGTCAATACATGCCTTCTGTTATTTAAAATTTCATGCTGAACAATTGCTGGAGTTCCAGGAATGTTAAAGTTTGGTTCTTTGTAAGCAGAGGCCTTTGAATAACCAGCAACATCAGCACATCAATGAAGGGAAGGGCATACAAGATAAATGTTAAACAAATTCAAGACAGCCAAACTTCAAAGAGATATCCATAACAAAGCATATCATTACTAATAAAAAGAAAATCTAGTATTTGTTCACTTTTCACGGGGTTTGATGAGCAAGGAACAAAAAGGAAGAAAATCATTAACAACCTGAAGAGCAGCACCAAATTCACCACAATTCAAGCGTACAAAGAAAATAACTGTTACATGGTACAGATTTTATGTATTAATAATATTTGATGCAAACTAATAAAGAGAAAATGAGGATTTATGAGACAAATTCTCATGATAAAAAGGTGACTCTCTGTAAGAAAAAAATTAAAAACATGAGCATGTATATACACACACACACCCATGCACTCACACGATACTTACTGGGGTAGACCCTTCTAATGAAACTCTTGCCCTAGAAAAAGACAAGTTCCCAGCCAAGAATGAACCACCTCTTTGGAAGACATTCTGAGGATTTCGTCCTTCGGCAGGCCACCTTGAAACTGAAGAATCTGTAGTTGCAACCCATATATTATCATCATGTAATGCCAACTGCAAAATTGGTTGTTCCTTTATGCAAAGCAAAAGACTCTCTCTTGTTGACAGGTCTGTCAAATATAACTGACGTATGCACAAAAGAAACACAAGTTGAGAGTTAAAACTAATTATTAGATGAAACGGAAAAGGATGGTAAGAATTTCAAGATTTCATACCAAGGAAAATATGGACTTTATTTGATGCCAGAATTATTCAAAAAGCTATTTGTGCTAGAATATAAATTATCAATACTTAACATTAAGTTACATTGAATAAAATTGAGGAGTATTATTTCATTCTCTTTTCCTTCATTTTAATATGCCAAAATATAATGGTTATTTCAAAACCTACTGGAGTTTGAAGAATATTACACTAGAAATCATATTTACATGAGTTTGTTGTATGTTATTAAGTTTCTATTCGTTGGTTATGGGTTGCATCAAGTAAATTTAGGAAGTTCCCAACCCTTGAATCCCATGATCTTTTGGAATATTATGAGTAGAACTCCATGAATGAGCATGACATATCTCAAGTACTAAACAACAGCTTTACAAAATCTTGAGTTACTGTTGTGCCAATCCTTTCCCTGGTGCAAAGTTTAAGGAATTATAGGTATGAAGCTCAGAACGCATATTCTTGAGTAACTGGTAAAGTAGCAGCACAGCACCACAGCCTAGGATTGCTTTCAATTTTTTTATTAAATACATCCAATTTCAACCCATATAAAATCAAAATACCTCTTTCAAAAAGAAAAATCAAAATCCCTAGTTATTTTGTTATTTCCACTAAATTATCATCCTAGATCAGCATAAAATTTCTTTGTTCAATTCTACATCAAAACATTGCAAAATTGATAAACAATGTGGTTAAAATGGTTTGGTATGAATATATACTTACAGAAAGATCTCTACCACCACTATAAACATGACTAAATGTTGGGGTGCTTGCAAGTGCCCAAACAGAATCTGTGTGCACAGCATATGAATGCACACAACGTTGCTGACCGAGGTCCCAAAGCCTGCAAAATAAAATTAAGAGCATTTAAAAGAAAGGTCTTAAATTCTTTATGATTGAAAAAGGCTTCTGGTAACACAAGAGCAAAATGTATGCACAAATCATGTACCTGATCATAGAATCAGAGGACCCTGACAAACAATATCTGAAAGAAAAAATTTCTGTCAAAAACTCACAAAATATTCACAGTGGAAAATAAAATCAAAGTACAGAATTTAATAGCAGCCAATCAAGGAAGAACCCATCAACATCAACCAATCTATTTATCTGATTATCTCTTTGCCAAAGAAGAGTTCAGCGGTTGCAAGAGAAAATAATTGGGTTAAAAATATGCATTTTATAATGCTTACTAAAGCTCCATAACAATAATGCCTACGGCTAACATCAAGCTAAAACTTTTTCACTAAGATATAAAGATTACAGAGTAGAACTCATTGTTCTAACCTGCCAGTAGAATCCATAAGCAACGCCCTAATGTTATCTGTATGCCCTCTTAGTTTCATATTCTTTGAACCAGTTCTTGGATCCCAAACTCGCACAACCTATATGAAAATGAGGGGAAACAAAATAACTACTGAAAAATTGTTAAATAAATCAAATGACCAACAGAGGTAAAGATGAGATCATCTCTACAAGTTGTAGAGGGAGAACAAATGTCATTATCATAAAAATTGAAGAAAGTAAGAAGCAAAAACTACCTTCTCAGTTCCACCAGAGACAAGAAGGGATCCATTATGATTCATTGCCAATGCATAAACAGACTCTTTATGCCCTTTAGCGGCAATAGGGACATATCCATGACACTGGGTTGTGTGTGTTCCAATGCCATTACTAGAGCCAATTGTTCGCAAACTTGACATTTGTAATGAATTTTTCGAACCATTTATACCATTGGAACAATCATTTTCCACTACATCACTGGACTTAGACACTGGAGTAATTGCAGCTTCAATATCCCACACAAAAACCTCCCCACCAAGACCACCAGAGGCAACTACATTGGCCTAGATGTACAACAAAAAGATCATCAGAAAGTGACTTCCATAGTAATAAGCACCATAACCTGTAGGACAATTACGCTGCCAAACTAAAAAAGAAAGTTAAATTGCAATATTGCACTGCAGGAACCTTCAATGCATTCAGCTAATAAAATCAACTGAAAATCTTGACATAGAAATTACATTTTTTTCAGCGTTGGCTAGACATGTAACATAGTCAGAGTGTTGACGAAATGTCCTGGTGCTAGTTCCATAAGACAAGCAATTCCACGTCTGGTATTTCTCAAAGAGAGAGCACATGTCAATATCTAACTGACATAGTCAATACGACACTGATAACACATTAATTAAAAACAAACCTTTAATGTAGTGTCTGACGAGCAGGAAACAAGTGTGCTGTCACCAGCAATAACAGTATCATTAACCTGCACAGCAAGGAAATAACCTTATTTTCAATCATAACTTATACAGTTACAGATATATCACATATTATATATGTAAAATATTTTGATGGTGAATTCCACAAACTGGACCAGGAGAAGGTAGATAAAGGGCCTAAACATTCAAATTGAAAATCGATGTAACTGAAGTGCAAAGTACAATACTTGCTCTAGATTTTGCTTTTGGTGAGCTGGTTGCTTGGTTGGTTAGTAAGCAACAATTCATATTTGATATCACGTCAGGGATATGTCATTCTAGAGGACCAAATTAGAAAATAAATTAAAATTCCACCACCTCCTAACCACAAATTAGCGACAAAAAAATATTGGCTAAAGTATGAAGGTCAGGCTAATAACTAAAAGTACATTATCATGGATAGAAAGAAGGTACCCAATCAACATGAGACTCAAACGTAGCAGAACATGTGGCAGTGTTTTCACCAAGTGCCCATCTCTTAAGTGTGCCATCACGGCTTCCAGTGAAAAGATAATCGAACCCATCATAGGTAGATGACTTTAGCAATGCCAAACAATTTATGCCAGCACAATGCTGCAAAACAACAGAGAAACATCAGTGCCTAGTGCCTGTACCTAAATTAAATTATAAAAGGCTCAACTAAAGTTCAAGATAATGACAAAATTTATAGTATAAAGCAAAGGATTAGCAGAATAATCCAATTGGATTGCAAACATGGCCCTAAATTAATGATGGATGTGTGGATAATAGAATGAACTAACACAAGCCACCATTTCCATTTTAGTTCAATATACCATAACTCCCTAATGATAAATGCATTCAACAAAGAAATCAGCACAACATTACCTTGGAGAAGGAAATTAAGAAGTTTCGACCAAAGTAGATTTCAGATATGCCAAGTTTATCAACATAGCAAATATAAAATAAGCAATCTCGCTGAATCTAATGATAAATATATACCATGGTATTACAAATCTACACAAGAATAAAAGCACAAATGAAAATATGTTCAAATGGTTATTATGTGAATTATTCTTCAACTCCAGTGCCCCCAGCCCCCCACATAAGAAGACATATAAAAATGAATACAAGGTTGAAGGTTCTATAATTTATTTTTTATCTAAAATTTGATTGCATAAATGGATAAGAAAAGGCATATAAACCAAAGATGCAGAAACACTAATAATCTAAAACGAGGCATTACAAGGAAAAAGCCAAATACACAAATTAGATCCCTAATAACATCTGAACATGCAAATTACATGAGATTGACAGATGCATATCAAGGAAGATTACTTGTTCACTTGAAAAAGGAAAAAAAAGTGGGAAAGTAATGAAAGAACTAAAGAAGGAAAAAAATAACAATAACAACAAAACATAAACTACTTCACCTTTGTGTCAGCGCTGTCATTCAATACATATGTCAGCCTCTTTTCTTTACGTAGGCGGTTAGAATTGGTATTGTTTCCCACACTGCCCACACGGTGCATTGCAGTAGCTCCTACATAACCAATCAAGTGAAATTAAAAACTTCAACACCCTTATATCTCGGTGTTTTTGTACACTTTAATATCACCAAACTATATTAAGTTAGAATAACCTACATTCTACAACCAAACATCACTTAGTAGAGGACAAAACAGTTGATATGCACCAAAGCCAAAGCAGACCAAACCTATCTGTCTTGAACAGACTGGCATTTTAAAAATATATATATAATGGAAATCCTTACACATGATTCTATAGAAACATATACAACCAAAACACAAAAATCTCATCAAATCCAAATTTCCACACAAATTGGCATTTTAAAAATGACTACATTTGCATCCATTGCAACTAAAACAGATTTCTTTTTCATATTCATTAGAGAAAGATATAATTGTTAAAAACTCATCGGGAATGCAAACCATAATTGTCCAAAACTAAAAAGAAAACAACAAAAGTTATATTGAAAAAAATAGAAGAATTAATATATGTTTTAATCTATCTAAAATATCCACCAAACAAAAACTCAATAGATCAAAAAAATGGACGAGAAACGAAGCGGGAAGAGGCTTTGAACTAACCAGGACAACCGTGAAAAAAATGGACGCGAAAATGAATTCGTTGAAGGGAGCGATGAAATCAAACCCTAGAAATTTAGATTCAATTCATAGTTTAATTCTTTTTTATCTTCTCTGTTGAAAAAGAGGGAATAAAACGAAGAGATTTAAATATGTGGGAAGAAATGGTCATTAATAAAATAAATAAATAAAATGTAAGGAAAAATAACTTTCTCGGGAGATACTGAACAGGAAAGTGAAAACGGAAAAGTCAAGACTAGAGGAAGGAGGAGAGGGGATAGAGGCTCATCGGGCTTGTAAAAAAACCGGGTACACGACGTCGTTTAAATTAAAAGTGGGACCACATTGAGGAAATAAATTTATGGGTTAACAAAAAAATTAATCATTTTCTTTTTCATATTTGTACACTATTGTTTATTAAATTTAAAAATATTATAATTTGATCATTTACATTATCGATTTATTAAATTTTGATCATTTATATTATTAATTTGTTATGTTTTAATTAATGAATCGATAGCTCGTGATAGTTTAATGATGTGACACATTAATCAATAATAAGTTAATTTTTAATTTGATTCCTAAATTTTATATAGAATGTTAATTTAACTTTAAACTTGAGATAAAATATCAATTTAAATCATAAATTCTATCAAAATCTCTTGTCGCTAGTTGTCACTCACCATCGTTCCTATCAGTAACCATCAACTACTATCGACGATGACCACAAAAACCTAAAATCTATAATTCATCTTTTTTTTTCTCTCTTCCTAAACGTGAATTTAGTATTTGTTTCATAAAAAAATATTCTTGAACTAGTTTAAAATCTTTCGACTTCCTTTAAAATTAAACTATAATAATAAATTTATCATTAACATTCCTTTAAAAACATTCTATATTGGAATATAGTTTTTAACAGGATTGATAGCAGCATGATATAATAGAATCTGATTGAAATGAAATCGACAGTTTAAAAACTGAAATAGAATATTTTAAAATATAAGGATTAATTTAAAATGAATGGCATAATTTGTTGGCCTTCCACAAATTAACTTTTTAATTTTTAACGAATTAACAAGGAACTGAATAAGAAAACACTTAACCCAATATCATAGTCTTCAAGGCATTCATTATTAAAAAAAAAAAAAACCCAGTTATATATTCAAAGTTTTGGCAATGGACGTGCATGACTCACTCAATCACATGGTACTGTTTATATACAATTTGATGGTAAAAATGAATCTCAAAATTTATACAACCGTCTCAAACTGATGTAAACCTCCGTAATTGTTGTTAGGGATAATGATCGAGTTGAATCTAAATATTTGAGGTTTTCGAATTGATAGATCCTTGATAATCTTACGGATGCTATTCCTTCACCATGTTCTAGTCAAATGCATATTAGAGATGAAGAAAGAGATGGTCTCACATCCCAAATTTCGGATTAATAGTTTAGTCTTGATAAATCAAAACTTTTATACGATACATCGCATTTTGTTTGGTGTTCGATTGATTACGAGTTTTGGGGAATTCGTTCTGTGAAGCTTAGCGGATGATTGGGTAGTTAGGAGCTTCCTAGCTCGTGTATGCATTCTGATTTGTCTGTGTTTTCGAATTAATTGTGTATACTAGTTTGATATTTTGAATACTCTATTTTTTCTACACATTTTGACCGCACTGAACTCTATAGTTCACCCTTTTATTTCTCCCTTTCAGATACTTCAAGATGTTAGGATTGAATCGACATCAGGAAGATCATAGTTTCAGATTTAAATTATAATTTTAAAAAATATTTTTCTTATAAAGTGATAATGACTGTATAAATTATTTGTAAATCTGATTTAATATATGATAATTATTTTTGAATTGATTTCTGGATCACTTCGGTGATTAATGTTAACTTTAAGATTCGATGGTAATGTCTAAGCTATATTTAGGGGATTACAGATGGAGATAATTTTGGTCAAATGAGACGATTGGTAGGGGCCCAAATGGCTTGGGCTTCAGTTTTGGACATTTTTAATTTTATATATTCATTGTGACATGTCAACAATCAATTAAAAATTAACGATGTTTAAATACCAATGTCTATGTTTTAATTAATTAAAAAAAAGTGATCAAATAATATAATTTTTTAACTCGGTGAAAAAAGTGTATTAGACTTAAAAGGAAGTGATCAAACTTGTAATTTACCCTAAATATTTTTAAATGATGTAAATTTTTTTTGAAGAAAAATGGTTTATATTTGAAAAAAAAAATCCTCAAAGTAGGTCGGTTCTGATATCCGGCAAGTTAGGACACTGTTAAAAAAGGACATAAATAAGTACAACCTAAAATGTTATAAAAAAATATTTTAGGTTGAACGTAATTTAAAATGTTATTTATCTTTTTCATAACACTTTAAGTGGTAACTTAAAATATTATATTTTTTATAATATTTTCAGTAAAATTTAATTTTTTTTGTTTGATGATTAAAAATATTATAAATAATATAACATTTTAAATTGTGTTTAAACTAAAATATTAATTTTTTTTTTGTAATATTTTAGGTTAAGTCGGCCTTTTTAGATTTTCCCTCAAAGTAGTACTCCGCCATTATTACATACCGTTAACGGAAAGTTTTCAGTACCTATGTATAAACCGTTAGGGAAATAATTTGTTCAATCTCCTGCATCGGAACACTCCTCCATATTTAACATTTATCCAATCAAATTCAAACACGTCACACATTTGTAAGTAAGTTTTGACGGTCACATATACATATTTGTCTTCTCCCAACAGTACGTATTTAAATAATATTTTTAAATTATAATAATTTTAATTATATTAATCTTCGAATTCAGATTGAGTTAAATCACGTTTAATAAATGATGAGATTAAATTGAGTTAATTTTATTTTATTAAAATTTTTTAACTTAATTTAATATTTAAAAATAATATAATTACATGAAGTAAGTAATTTTAATGGTTAAACGATAGTAGTTATTCCAAATCCCAGGTTTGAGCATATCATGTTTAAGTGTTCATTATCAAATGATTAAAATTTTTTCGAATATATACTACCTTATAATCACTCATACTAATAAAAATATAATTATTCTCTATATATTTAAGAATAATTATTGTAATATTGTCTCTAAAACTTTTTAAATTCTCCTTATTTTATTGAATAATTTTTTTTATATATTTATGTCAGATCAAATTTTAACTCTAAAATTTACATGAAGGTTGGTTCAAGTGGTAAGCAACTTAATATCGCTTAAGCATGACTCGAGCTCAAGGTCTTGTGTATGCAGAAAAATCTCGCTAAGAGGCTTACCCATTAAAACCAGGTATGCGATGTCAGTTAGTCCATATTAATTAGGACAAATTCTTGTTACTGAGATGATAACAAAAAAAACTATAAATTCAATTCAAATTTTAAGTCTAGTTGAATATCTCTAAACTCAAATTGAATCGAATATTGGGTTGAAAGTTATAGCATTCCGATCAAATTTAAATCGATAAAAAACATAATTTAATATATTATCATCTCTAATTATTTTTGTATTTCATCTTATATTATATTTTAATTTTTATTAATGAGAAATTGGAGTAAATACAAAAAAAATATTTATAGAATTAAAAGTGACATTTTATATTTTTTTGAGGAACCGTTTTCAATAATTTTATTATATTTATATATCTAAAATCAATGGATAGCTACGTGACACCAGTTTTATTTTATTTTACTTAGTATACTCTGACCGTGTAGTAGGATCCGATCCAAGTTTTTTCACTTTCGGTCGTCCAGTCAAAATATTTTAGACAACACTTTCTTATTCCACTTTTGCCCCTCCACTCCTTACTGCAAAGGCCCAAAGTAAAAAGAGTAAAGTTTCAAATAGTCACTAAATTATAATGCAATGATCTTTTTCTTAGGGATGAGCATGAATTTAGTTTGTGGTTAATCTCGATCCAACTTAAAATTTTTATATTTTTTATTCAAAATCTGATTCAATTCGAGTTTAGGATAATTTTATCTGAACCAAAATTCAACTCGATTTTTGAGATAAACCCCGATTCGAAATAATATAAAATTATCATTTTATTCAATAAAATAGGGACTTATTTGAAAAAAATATAAAATGAGATATTATTACAATAATCCCTAAACATATAAGTTATAATTTAGGGTCATGTATTTTCACCTTAAACTCGAACCTGAACCCAAACTTATCATCTAAAAAACTAGATCCGACTCAAACCTGGACTCAAATTTTCTAAAACGACTCGAACTGATTGGGTCGAAACCCATCGAGTTCGTGTCACGTGTCCATCCCTACTTTTTATGGACATTAATGTTTTAAAAGTTATAAAATAATCATTAAATTTATTAAAATTGCAAAATTTATAAAATAATTATTAATGACCACTATACATTATAAATAATTATTAAATTTATAAAAATATTGCAAAATTGTCAATATATATTATAAAATAATGATGAATTTTAATAAATTTAAATATCAATTTATACAAAGTTTAATAAAAAAAATAGTCATTGTATTATATTACAATGATCTTTTTGGATATTGAATTTTTAAAAATTAAAAAATGATCATTAATTTTATTAAACATTTATAAAATGATCACTATATGTTATAAAATAGCGATGTATTTTAATTAATTTAAAGATAAACTTGTAATAATTTGATAAAATTTAATGATCATTATATAACTTACAAAATTTCAATGGTTAAAAAGATTATTTTAGAATAGATTAATGACCAAATTAAAAATAAGCCTTCCATCTTTAGATCTGGACCAATCAAAACTTAAGTATATTCTCACTTCTTTAAATTTTTAACATGTTTGTTTTTCCAATTAACAAAACAAGCTTAAAAACAGTAGAAGAAAAAGGAAAAAGCTTTGCCAAAACAAATCAGATTCCTTTCTTCTTTCACCATTCAATCATTGAAAATAACTGATAACTAGAAACCCAATTCTTCTTTTTCATCTTTCATTCTGGGATTTCTCAACAAAAAAAAATCCCCTTTTTGTGTTTAAAAATTTCAACTATCCCACTATTGACTTTTTTACCTGTTAAAGTCCAAGCCTTCATAATTAC